GCATTCCCAAAGCTGTGATCACACTTGTATAATTGCAGTTTGTGATGACAGCCCCTTGTAATTATACCCTCCATTGAAAGCAGCGCGGCGGCCAGTGAAATACAGTGCCACAAACACAATGTGACATATGCGTCCAGTCCAAAACTAAGCCAGGCATTCACTCTACAGCACCCAGCAGAAAGGTGGAACGTCGCATATGTACAGCAATGAGTAGATTTCACTTCCACTTCCTGTCCTATAGACACAACATAAAGTAAGAGAAAATCTCTTTAAAAAGGGAAGGAAATACAATTTTAGACAGTGCTCACCATAACACGTGTCCCCATTGAAAGATTTCCCCTCAATTCCTGTTTTGGAGAATTTCCCTCACCTTGAGTCTTGGTGTGAGTGGTCACCGGAATGTCTGAAATCTGTATTACTGAAGGCAGATTTTTCTAGGTCCCTATATCTCTGCAACGCATTGTTGATTTCTGACTTTTCCAGGGAACAGTAAACACATGTGCAGCAACTGGACCTCAAGTGAAGAAGGAGAACCGCAATGACTCCCACCATCATGGTCCCGGTAAATTCAGGCCAATACCGCACTGCTCGTCATTCACAGGAACCTGCCCGTCCACAGCCATCCTTAAAGGAGGCCTCTACTAAGAGAAATACGAGTGCGGCCATTGCTAACCACCTACTAAAGATGCAAGTTGCTTGGCTGTATGACTTTAATATCTTCAGAGATCATGACTGGTGATGCGCTGGGGCTTGGAGCGAACCAAGTCCACGAGACTTGGCCCAAGCCCTTGCATAATTGTCCCAAACCCTGCCCCCCAGCCCGATTAGTTGTGGCAGGGGCCCCTTTGCGAGTCTAGCTGTGGGGCAAGGAATGCCCAGGGCCAGATTTTCACCTGTAGATACGAATGTAAATCTGTTTAGCCTGAGTCAGCGCCCTTACTTGTTGCAGGACCCCCTGTCTTTTACATATGCAGAGAAGGACCCCGGCCCTAAACACCTTCCGCATCAGATGGGTACAGCGCCGGGTCCTTCATCTGCATTTGCGGAAGCAGGCGGTTCCTGTAGGTGCCACTGGACTTGGGGCAGGAGGGTATATTTTGTGCAGAATGCTATTTGCCGGTGATGTATCTTGACACAACACCAGGAATTAGGCAGAGTAGGTACCTGCAAGACGCACCTCGTCGGGTTGGAGGGGGTTGGGTAGGGAATGTCAGTAAGTTTTGCACTGATTTGAGAGAACTCTGTTCACAACAAGCCCCTGCATATCACTATTCAGGACCTGGAAGAAGCATGCAGATATACTGTATGTTCGATGACCAGTTACTCAGAAGGTGCCAAAAATCATTGCACCAGCATGTCAGCCAGGGAAGCAGCATTTTTAGACACACAGGTCACCCATGGCAGCCTCCATACTGCCTCAGTACAGATAGACAGATCTTTTAGATGGCAATGAGTTCCATCCAGCCAGAGATGCAGCAATCTCCATTATCAGCGGCAACCAGCTCATGCCATCTCCATGTAGCTTGTGCACAGCAAAAGAAAAAGGGGAACAAATGATGAAAAAGTTTACAAGATGCTTGAATAACACTTACCAACTGACATTTCAACTTGCCAATGGCCATTAAACCAACACACAATGAAACATTGCTGCAAGTATTGATGTAACTAATCATATTGTACAAATACGGATAGGATATGGGCAGAATTATCAAAACTTTACAAATATTTATAAAACATTTCAAAGAAAGACCATCTCAGTTTTATATACCAAAACAATGTATGATATCCAACAACAAAGGCTCAGCGTTCACAGAAACTCACAAACAGCAACTTCTGATCAAGAGTTACATGAAACTGCAAGACAACAACAACTTGCAACATAACAAAATAAATCTACAAAGTGTCACACACAAAACAAAAATGTAATCCATTGCAGCTTACCAGCACTAAGGCCTGGTTCACACCTAGGGGATTCAGATGCCGAGCTGTTTTCACACGGTTGTCGCGTGTTTTCGATCGCACGATTGTTCATTGTAAACGGCGCGATTGCCGCACGTTTTTCAATGCATAGAGAGCTCTATGGGACCCAAACCGCACGACAAACGCCCGAAAATAGCTCTGCACCTTTTCGTGCAAAAGGACATTTCGGTCGCGCGACAAACTGCAAAGGTGTGAGCAGCCTCCATTGACTTCAATGCGAATCTGTGTTTTGCGCGATATCACGCGACTAAAACCGCACGATAAATAGTCTAGGTGTAGTGCATTTTTTGTCCTAAATGACGCTCAAAAAAATATGCCCCCAAAAAATCCCATTCATTTCTATAGCCATGTTCACATCTGAGCGTTTTGTCGAGAGAAGCAAAACGCCTGTCGCTGGAAAGAGTGCATGAGCTTTTATTGTTGGTATATTACAGCTCGTTTTGGCCCCATAGACTCAATAGGAAATGCTTGGAAACGCCCGTTTGCTGTGTTTTTGTGCGTTTGCTCATTAACATCAATGAGCTACAATATGCTCACCAAAACGCGCAATTTGATTTTTATGCGCATAAAAATGCTGTCGCCCAGGTGTGAACCCAGCCTTAGATGTAGTGACTGCATTAGTTTTCTTGGTTTCACCTTTATGACCACCTGCTGATCCGTCCTGTAACATACCTCCTCTGTCCTAGGGTGACAACGCTCACTCACTATATAGGAAATCATAAAAGCTCAAGGTCACGGAACAATAGAACATTAGACACCTCTGACCCCCATCCATAGGCCGAGACCCAAATGGAATTCAGTGTTTCATTTGGGAGCCACCAACAAGTTCTGCTCATTTGATAAGGTTCTAACACAAACCATATGTTTTGAAAATTCCACTACTATGGCAAAATGATCTCTTCCATAAAAATGGCACGTTTATATAGTTCCAGTGTAAATATCAATGTTGAGAATCTCCGCCTTCATATTAACAGTCTCTGATCTCCAAGAAACCTCCAGGGACCAAAAAAAAAAAAATCTATCTCCGTTTTTGGAATATGGAATTCACAATAAGATATTTTCCTGCAGGAGATCAGTTCCTAACATCTTTCCATATTTACTAGGCTTATAGAAGAGTGTGCTGATGACTTGAGGGATCCTTCCAATTCAGGGGGTAAACTATACCAGGGAACACAGTGGATCTGGTTTCATTGAGACAGCATGAAACGCATTCGACCAGTAGCAAAGCTTCCCTGAAAACAATTCCACATTCCCGGTGACTAGATCCCTGCTCGATACTATGCAAACGATACACGAAGAAGAAAACTGCAGATAAAAACACACAAGAGCCTTCTAAATATATTTATATTCAAGTTATGCGTGCACTGGAATGACCGGCCGGCTTTTTGCATCTCTCCAGCAGCCAGGTGGAGAGATCTTCCTGTTTGTAATTCCCAGCTCTGCTTGGAGTTTCACTCTTCCTGCTTCATCCTTCACACCAACAAATCAATGAAAAACCCTAAAAGTAAGTCTGGGGAGGCTCTGGTAATGAACACAGCAGGTAGCCGGACTAACACAAAGATATGTCTAACGAAGCCACCGATGCTGACCATAGAAAGGACCTTTTAGCGACTTCAACCAGCTTTCGATTACATAAACGATCAAACAGATCAATGCAACCTTCCTTGTCAAACACAGAGCAATAAAGATATAGGGATTGTTGGTGGTAGATAGCTTTGATCCATTGATCGGATTTGCAAACACTGGCTGGTTGGATCTGCTAGGAAACTGCCCTGTGTACAGCCAGAGCAAGAGATAAAAACAACTTGTCAGTGTCTACCAAAAACTGCAGTGTCAGTTATCAGTGGTGGGGTCCTTGAATGTTATGTATACAGAGACCACAGGGGAAAATGTCAGCAGCAATACCAGCACTATCTATAGCAGTGTAATGTGAGGTGACAGTGATGAGGGGTGAAGGGATGAATGATAAGGATGATGTGTAGCTGCACACTCATGTGGCTCACATAGGACAGTAGCACAGTTTATGGCAATACAGCGCGGGGTAAAACTGATGGAGGTGATGATTACGACATAAGGCGATTAGGATGATGTGGTGTAGCTACATACGCATGTGGCTCACATAAGACGTTAGCACAGTGTATGGAACTACAGTGTGGGGTAGAACTGATGGGAGGTGATGATTACAAGGTTTTGAATAAAGATAATGAAGGCGATTAGGATGATATGGTGTAGCTGCACACTCCTGTAGCTCAAATAGGACAGTAGTACAGTCTATGGCACTTTAGCTTGGGGTAAAACTGATGGAGGTGATGATTAGGTGGTCATGAATAATGATAATGAAGGCGATTAGGATGATGTGGCGTAGCTGCATAACCATGTGGCTCACATAGGACCTACGTACAGTCTATGGTACTACAGTGTTGGATAAAACTAATGGATGGTGATAACAGAGTGGCCATAAAGGTGATTGGAACGATGTGGTGTAGCTGCATTTCCATGTGGCTCACACACAGCAACCAACGACATCCCACTATATGGCATTGTACTATGGGACAGGAGAGACAGATGATGTGGTGTACCTGCAAACCCATGTGGTTCACATACATACAACAACAGACAAAGTTAAATAGAAAGAGTACATTTATTTCTCAGAGCATGCATAGGGAAGATATATACCAAATGAACAGGTAGCTGCTGAGGGATAGTAAACACCTCCTACGTTACTCTGATAATTCAACAAATATGAATATCCTCTACTCAACTCTAGTCTGTTCACCTGGTGAAACCACATATAAAAAGTAAGTGTATACTCTCTTGTTCTTCATAGGATGTTCAGAGCCACAAATGTATCTAAAAGAGAGATGCAAACAGATACTAGCAGCCTGGTGTATGGCATTGCAGAGTGGGGTAACATTGATGGAAGGGATGAAAATGACAAAGGTAATGGGGATAAGGATGATAATGATGAAGATGAGGAGGATTAGTTGCTCTCCAACGTTGCTCACACATGGTATACAAAGTTAGAACTAGCAGCCCAGTGTTTGTCATTGCAGTGCGGGGAAACACATGGAGCGGATGAAAAGGATGGGGAAGGGGAGGATATGATGTAAATGTGCTCTCCATGAGGCTCATGTACAACAAAGCTGATAATAGCAGTCCGGTGTGTGGGATTGCAGTGCAGGGAAACACACGGGAGGACAAAAACGATGGGGAAGAGGAGGATGTGATGTAAATGTGCTCTCCATGAGGCTCACATACAGCACGGCTAGTAACAGCGGTCCGGTGTATGGGATTGCAGCGCGGGGTAACACTGATGGAGGGGATGATAATAAGGAAGATGATGAAGGATGAGGATGGTGTGGTGTAGCAGCTCTCATACAACAGACAAAGTTAGCACAATCAGCAGTCCGGCCCCTGGCATTGCAGTGTGAGGGGATGATAATAAAAGTGAGGGGGATGAGGATGATGTGGTGTAGCTGCTCTGCCATGTGGATCTCATAACATTCAAACTTGGTACTAGAAGCCCAGTTTCTGGCAGTGCCGTGTTACTGATTGAGGGGATGATAATGAAGAAGGGGATGAGGATGGCGTGGTGTAGTGACTCTCACGCAGCAGATAAAGTTAGTACCAGAAGAAGTCCAGTGTATGGCTTTGCCATGTGGTGTAACACTGATGGAGGGGGATGAAGGTTATGAGGATGATGTAGTGGCTGTCAGAATAGATAACGTTAGTACCAGCAGCAATCCAGTGTATGGTAGCACTGACTGAGGGGATAATGATGAAAGTGATAGGGATGAGGATGACGTTATGTAGTAGATCTCATGCTGTAAAGTTCCTACCAGCAGCAGTCCAGTCCCTGGCATTGCAGTGTGGGGGTAAACTGATGGAGGGGATAATAATGACAGATGTGTTGGGATGTGGATGACGAGGATGATGTGGTGTAGGGGATCTCATACAGCAGATAAAGTTCCTATCAGTCCAGTCCCTGGCATTGCAGTGTGGGGTAACACTGATGGAGGGGATGATAATGACAAAAAGGTGTTGGGATGAGGATGACAATGATGATGGGGTGTAGTGGCTCTCATACAGCAGACAAAGTTACTAGCAGTATCAGTCCAGTCCCTGGCATTGCAGTGTGGGGTAACACTGATGGAGGGGATGATAATGACAGAGGTGTTGGGATGAGGATGACAATGATGATGGGGAGGAGGATGATGTGGTGTAGGGGGATCTCATGCAGCAGACAAAGTTCCTGGCAGTCCAGTCCCTGGCATTGCACTACAGGGAAGCACTATAGATCTTGTCCCCCCATCCATCACCCCCATACAAGAGGCAGTCAGCTCGGTGCGCAGGTTAGTCACCTCCTGGCTGGCCGATTGAATGGCCCCATCGATGCGTAGGGCCAGCTGCTTGTTCTCGTCCATCATTTGCAGGATGTTGTCCTGGGGAGACAGGAGGGGACACACAGCGGCATGGTGGGTGCACGAACCATCAGCAGCACTGCAGGAGACACACAGCCTGCTCTCCAAAGGACACGGCACACATGACACAGACTCTTTAAATGGAACCTACCACTGCTCCGAGAGGGGTGTCCGCACTCCCCTTTTCCCCTTCTCCCTCCTGAAGAGCCGCTCCGCATCCGATTCCGCCCGCACAGCAGGCTGTAAAATGCTCGTAAAACGGAATTTGTGATAAATCCCGCATAATATTACTTTATGGCCAGCAGCATTGTCCGAGCTGCAGTCGGCCTCCCCCCCCTATCGGGCCGGACGTGTCCTCGCCCTCTCTTCCCTTGTAAATCACAGCTACAAACTCGTGAGCGCAGTTCTTGGCTGCATTTCCCCGTGTTCATTATTTATTCAGTGCCGAGTCCCTAAGACAAACCATTTCCCAGGCTAGAGCGGGGGAGCAGAGGAACCACACAGACCTGAAGGGGGGGGGGATTCACAGGATCATCATACCGGTATTTACAGAGCTGGGGGGGGCACACTGAGGAATGTGGTCACTGTCCCCAGACATCGTGGAGGAGACCGGGCTGCTAATGCAAAAGTCACCAAAGATACCCAAGGGGGGTGACCACAGACGGGCGAATCGAAACTAGAAGTCTGGCTGGGACCAACCATTGCTGGGGCATAGGGGATGATGCCGGCATGCCAAAGCACCAATCGTTCCCTTTTATATAGTAAAAAGGGAAAGCTGAGTTCCAGGATGAGCAAACATTGTAATAAACTAAATACACAAGTCATGTGTGTTCTTGAATCTTGGTGAGATTTGTGTATTTCTTCCACATTTGTGCAGTAATCCAGTGTGACACTTGGAGCTTCCTGTAATAAAGACCGCTCATTGCTGCTCTGTCTCCCTGTGCAGGGTGGCTGGTCTTGTCTCGCCTTCCCTATAGTTTTATGTAGGTAGCTTGCAGTAGGTGGGGCCTGCTGCGCTCCTCCCACAGCTCTGCTTTCTGCACAAGCAGTGCAGCACAGTGATGGTGTCACTGCTACTTTTACAATGTATATCCTTTGTGGTTATTGAGCAAGATGCTTCAATCAGAGTGTTTATCCAGTTCAACTTTTGAGTATTTTTATTTTGGATAGACTGGTTTCAGATAAAAGAAAAAAAGAAACTCCAGAATCTTAGGCCTCATTAACAGTATGTGCTGTGACCTGTGTTTTTCTGCACAAGAACAACGCAGGTGCCCTGTTCACATTGCAACACGGGGATTGAAAGTGAGTTGCTGTGTGTTGGAGAAAGATGCATACATTCTGCATTTTCTACAGCACACCAGAGCTCACCTAAAGTCCCCATTCATATTTGAGACGGGCATCTTCTGGTGTTATTTTGTAAGTATTTCAGGAATGATCATTCTATTTTTAGTAGAGGTGCACCGAAATGGAGATTCCAAAACCGAAACGAAACCGAAAGAAAAAAAATTGTCAGGCTGAAACCGAAAACATTTTTAAGTTACATTTTTATAATTTTTTTAAATATTTAATTTTTATTTATTTTTTATAAACTTTTTATTTTGTTTATATTTATTTTAATGTATTAATTCATTTTTTTAATTAAATATTTGTGTTTTTTTACTTTACTTTTAGGGGCTTCGGGGAAATATTGGGGGTCTAAACAGACACCTGATATTTCCCTTTTAAAATAGAAAAAGAGATTGAGGACACAATCCTCAATCTCTTTTTCTGTATCCCATGTTATAAATGAACAGGAATCCTCTAAACTGAGTGTTCCTTATCATTCATAACATGAGGACAGAGTATGTTTACTATAACCACAATCATGAATGAACAGGAGGAGATGTAGATCACTTCCCATTAATTCATAATTGGGGATATAGTAACAGGACTCTGTCCTCAATTATTTACAAACACGCAGCGATCACTGAGTGTTTGTACTCGCTCTCCATCCTGACAGCTGTCACAGGAGGCTGATGTAACAGAGCAGGGAGGAGAGCCCAGCCTCCTGTGACAGCGCTGGCTGTCTCCGCCCACGCACCGCTCTGCCGGACTGTGATAGGAGGCTGAGCGGTGTGGGAGGAGAGACGCCAGCCGCTCACAGCGCTCTCCTCCCGCAGTGCTCGGCCGGCTGTCACTTTCTCTCCTCCCCGCTGGGACACAGAGCAGCGCCCAGCGGGGAGGAGAGAAAGCAGGGATGCGCCGATGTATCGGCAGGAAAATGGCATTCGCCATTGGTGCATCCCTCATTTTTAGCCAATTCAAAGCTAGTTAATTAGCAAAAGAAAGTTAATTAGCAAAAGAAAATGTTAACAGGGGCCACTAAAAACAATCCAGCCTTCAGCCAGAAATGTTTCCAGGCTTCAGATGATAACATTTGTGGTGGAAAATAGATACCATTGACCCCAACGTAAGGAACATTCTTCACATTGTTTGCCATTATAAGGAGTGTTCTCACCATTGATCCCCCATATAAGGAGCATTCTTCCCATTAACTGTAAAGAGTATTCTCACCATTGATCCCCCATATAAGGAGCATTCTTCCCATTAACTGTAAGGAGTATTCTCACCATTGACCCCTCCTATGTAAGGAGCATTCTTCCCATTGACTGCAAGGAGTATTCTTGCAATTGACCCACAAATGTAAGGAGCATTCTTCCCATTGACTACCATTGTAAGGAGTATTCTCACCATTGACCCCCACTGTAAGGAGCATTCTTACCATTGACTCTAAGGAGTGTTCTCACCATTGACCCCCTCAACGTAAGGAGCATTCTTCCTATTGACTACCGTTGTAAGGATTGATTTTACCATTGACCCCCCAATGTAAGGAGCATTCTTCCCATTGACTGTAAGGAGTATTCTCACCATTGACCTCACAACCTAAGGAATATTCTTACAATTGACAACCCCCATGTAAGGAGCGATCTTCCTATTGACTATCATTGTAAATAATATTTTCACCATTGACCCCTCCCCCCCCATATAAGGAGCATTCTTCCCATTGAATGTAAGGAGTGTTCTTACCATCGACCCCCCCTCTCCCATGTAAGGAACATTATTCTTCCCATTGACTGTAAGGAACATTCTTCTCATTGACTACCATTGTAAGGAGTATTCTCCCCATTGATCTCCCCACCGCCCTTTATTATTGTTTCATTTTATTACTATTACCAAAAAAAACAGTCACATAAAATGGGTGTCAAACACGCAAAGTATGCCATATCCCAAATTATTTGATCAGTTCTTTTATTTAAACTCACTGTACATTATAATATACGGTGAGCCGTGGATACCTGTCACAATGTGTTGCAGCTTCTTTGCCAACTGAATCATCATCACACACAGATGCCGTATAATAATGCTCCTGAGGAACTTGAATTACAGTTCTGAGTCCTGCTAGTGTGCGGGGCATAGAACAGAAAATCTAGGAGGAAGTTTTCAACCATTAGCCCATTGTTCTGGGGATTTGGTTGAAAACTTCCTCATAGCTTTTCTGTTCTATGCCCCGCACACTAGCAGGACTCAGAACTGTCATTCAAGTTCCTCAGGAGCATTATTATACGGCATCTGTGTGCGATGATGATTCAGTTGGCAAAGAAGCTCCAACACATTGTGACAGGATGATGTCATTTGTAATAGTTGTAAACGAATACCATTGTGATCGTGTTAATAACTTGTAATGCTGTTTTATACAGAACTCAATTTGGCAGCCACCAGAACACTTGTACAAAATGTCATAGCTGACTCATCAAAAACTAGAGCACAGAAAACAGCGGCAGTTCCCCGTAGCAATTAGTTTTTGCTGCATTTGGAAGATGAAACCTGATTGGTTGGCTATGGGCATTTGCTGCACTTTTTGTTTCTTTCCTCTTTTTTTTTTATCTCTGTCTCTCACATGTATGAAAGGGCCTGGTCACCCAACAAGGCCTTGCACTACTCAGGCTGTTTCTAACACTAACATATGATTGTGTGCTGCAACAGAATGAGGGACATAACTAGAAATCCCACAGCTCCATTGCATGTGCTCCATTTTGATGGGGCTTCCACTGGAGGCCGGTTGGAGACCTTCTCACCATCTTAAAGCTGATATTTTGCATTCCTTGGTACCACCTTTCCCCCATCTTCAATTAAATTTTTAAATAAACTTTTTCTATTTTCATGGCATACTTTATTTTAGGCCCAATTACTTAAAAGAGAACTATGGGGTAACCTTTTTACCCCATAGGTTACCCCACAGTTCTCTTTTAAGTAATTGGGCCTAAAATAAAGTATGCAATGAAAATAGAAAAAGTTTATTTAAAAATTTAATTTTTTGTTAGTTTTGGATGAGTTTAAGAATATTCGTTGCGAATACCACAGAAAACCATATACAAATATCAATACTAAGGCTGAATCTCCTAGACCCGAATGGCATTCATGAACCGAATTTCCAAATTGCATTTAGGTCTGGGAGCCTCAGCTATAGTAATATATGTATATGGCTCCCAGACCCGAATGGCATTCAGGATCCGATTTTCTAAATTGCATTCAGGATCTCCCGAATGCCATTCGGGTCTGGGAGCCATATACATATAATACTAAAGCTAAGGCTCCCATGTTGCCGCAACAAAAATTTATGTTCAGACCCATTCGGATGCATTAAACTGAAAAACACATCCGATTGGCCAGAAAAGTCACATATCCGATTCAGTTTAGATTTTGAACGAAATTCGGACGGGATTCGAAATTCCAAAACAGAAATTCGGATTCGGACACATTCGGATGCATTGGGATTTGGAAATTCGGATGTGCGAATTTTGGAAAATTCATATGAATTTTGATTCGGAACGAAACGAATCGCACATGTCTACGGAGAAACTTCTGCTCTAAGCTCCCTTCAGTGTTGGAGCCAATTAATTTGTGGGATAGGGTTGAATTTCCCAATTTTGAGGGTTTTGGACTTCTCATCTCCACCCATCTCATTTATACTGTAGATTTCT